TCACTGACTTAAGTCTTGGTGAAGGCACCGGCTCTGGTCCTGGGGTTCTAGCCTGTACAGGTGTTGAGGCTTCCTTGACACCTGTATTACATGATGTTAATAATAGCTCTAGTTAATTTGAATAAAAGCCTATCAATGAATTTGATCCTGCATATACAGGATTTCAATTAGAATATCATTAAAGGATATCATTAAAGAAATCTTGTTCTAATAATTGCACTGACTACTACCTCACATAGTACTTAAACACAAGGTGGTTTAGGAACACTCAAATGTTGTGATTAAAAACTAGAGATAGTATTTTTTTTAACTAAAAGAGGTTTTACTCTGACATGTAACAATACATTTTGAGTTCAGGTTTCACCATTTTTCATCTTTGAACAAACACTTATTCCTGATAAAACCATTAATTTAGGGTTTCTCAAAGTTTGTAGAGATTTAAAACTGCTATAAACTTACTTTGTCAAAAATGTTGCCTTTGTTGTTTTTTGGAAATACTCAATATTTAATGTGAAATTTAAGGATTTTCCTTTTTGTTAAAGGTAAGTTTTCATCACTAATTGTTTTCGTTAAAGATTAGATGTTTGAAGCCCAAACTTGGATAAAAATATTCCTATGATGTTAAAATTTAAGTTGATTATAGCAGCTTTCATTCTCTTTATAGAGGTTCAAATGCTTTGACTTTTTCTGAAGTCATGCGTTTATGAAAATTGGCATGGCATGAGAAATGATTTGAGTCTATTGAAGTCTATTATCTACAGCAATTCACTTCTTATTCAGAAAGCTCATGAGCCACATTCTGCAAGAAACATTCCGCAGAAATACCACCACATGCTTAAACAGTCAATATTTTTTCTGAAGTACTGCTGTTTTCCAGGGGAGGTAGTACATTAGCCTACCTCTGTCTTTCATCTTCTTACATATAGCTGTTCTTATGAATAGTAAGGATGTTGATTGGTTGAATATGGTTGGTTTTACAATGCTTTTGGAGAGCGCTTGAGTGCTTAAACCCGAGCTGTTCACTTGATCTCTATCTTTTAAAAACAAATAAGCTGCATACGCACCCCAAACCAACTCTTTTCTTGGTACATTACATTTACCTCTTTTATCATATGTAATGTATTTTTGCTGTAAAGGAAGTCTTAAGTAAAAAGGCAACAGCATCCTCAGGCTATATTAGGAAGAGCATCTGCAGCAGGTCAAGAGAGGCAGTATCATTGGTAAGACACATCTGGACTACTGTGTCCAGTCCTTGGCTCCCTACTACAGGAAGAACATGGATGCACTGGAGCAAGTCCAGTGAAGGGCCAGGAAGATGATTAAGTGACTGATTAACAGAATCTGTCAAATGAGCAGGGACTTAGTAAGTAAGGATCCTGTGGCATGGAAGACTCATAGTGCATAAATACCTGATGGGAAAGCGTTAGTAAGACAGAGCTACCCAGAGCTACCAGAGCTCAGTGGTACCCAGTGACCGGTGAAGAAACCATGGACACAACTGAAATACAGAAAATTCCATTTAAACTTGAGAACTTTTTTACTGTGAGAGTGGTCAAACACAAAGAAACAAACAAGTTGTCCAGGGACTTTGTGGAGTCTCCATCCATGGAGACAGTCAAAATCTAATTCAACACGGTCCTCATCAGTGTACTTCAGGTCACCCTGCTTTGAGCAGATTTGGGTTGGACTAGGTGATCTCCAGAGGCCCATTCCAACCTTAACTAGACTGCAATTTTGTGAAATTATGTGAAAAATAGATTTGAAAATATTTGTAAAATGTTGACACCTGGGCTACAGAAAATGTGGCCACATTTTCTGATCAAATAAGTTTTAATAATACCATGAAATTGTGTGGATATGCAGTGAAGATTACTTTACCTCAGGCCACAGCACAAGGGTATTATAATAATACTTACTCCTCTCAGTGTCGTGTAATCATTTGAGGAGCCTGTTTTTTATGTTTTTTTCATTATTATGATTTCTCCCAGTGATAATGTTGATAGAATCCTTTCCACTGAAATAAATCAGGCTGATGTATCTTGTTAGATATTAAATACATCTGCAGTTTGTATTTCAGTGCTATATACATGAACTAGCTGATGCACAAAAAATAAATAACCTAGAAACCATAGTATTTTCAATCTAATTTATTTTACTGTTTAGTGACAATAGAGTTGCCATGAACATGACACCATGAAGTATGTTTAAACTGCTTTTGGTAACCAGATTAGTTTTTTGGAGGTGCATAAGCTTGTAGCCATCCTGTTTTTCAATATAAGCAAGTCTGTTATGCAATGCAAAAGACTTTTTTTTTTTTTTCCCAGTAATTTCTACCAATCCAGATGTACTGGTAGCATTAGGAAAAGAAGAGGTAAGTCAAGTCTGTCTTCTGCTAATCGATAATAACTTTTTAAAAAAAAAAAAAAAAGAAGTATATACAAGTGCTATATTTTCCTATTACTTCTCCTGTAAGGGGCTACTGCTAAAATATTGTGTTTGCTTCTTTAAGGATTGTAGTTTTTTCTTACTCTAAATTTAATTTTAGTTACTGAAGTTTCCTAGTTGTAATGAGTATTCTTTTTAAGCAGAAGTTTTTCTATCTTGCATTTCATACTTTATACAAAAAAACATAACATTATATTTTTCACAGAAGAATCAGCATTTTTATTCCTAAATTTCTGTGGGAATCATGTGCAAATCAAAGAATCAAAGACAGGGCAAATCAAGAATGTACTAGCAGTAGCATTACATTATATTGGTTGAACATTGATATGTAATCGTGACTGAAAATATTATTGTGGTAATGGTGTTGAAATAGTCATACTATTTTGTATGCATATGTAGGCCAATAAATGAAGAAACATGAAGATTATGAGCTATTTAAAAGTAGTCTTTCTTCACTTAGCTTTTTTCATTAATTTCTAGCAAATTTGTCTAGTTCTCTAGGGAACAAAGCAGTTTCTAGAATCATTGCTAACGAGGTGATTGGTTATTTCCTTTCATCTGAGTGAGTTGTGGTGGCATGTTTGGTCTGCTGTCTCATTTTGTGAGTTCATTTAAGGGTTCCAATTTTTTTTCCGTATTGCATATATAAAAACACATTTGTTTCTGTAAAACATCTTCAAAATTTTTATTTAGTTGAGCAAAATATAAAGCTGATCTTAAAACTTGCGGAAGGAGCAATGAGACAAAGTATTCCAAAAGACCCAGATCATAGAAGTATGCCTCACTTGCTGAAGGGACATAACTATTGGGATGAAAGGCACAGCCCAGTGAGGTACATGTTCCCTACGGGTAACTTTTGCTTGCAATAGTCCCAATATTTCTTTAGTCTCTGGGTATCTTCTTACTTAGTGATTGGCACTTAATTCATGAGTGCAATCAGCCTTTCCTTGCAGCATCTTTTTCTCTGGAGAGCTTTTTTTTCTTGTTTGCTTGTGTGTCCTGAAGCTTTTTCCTCCTCAGTGGTTCATCAGCTTAGAAGAGCAGCTCATGTGAGTGCCTTGGAATCGACTTCAGCTAAAATGAGCTAGGTAGTTTTAAGGAGCAACTGGGGACAGTAGCATCTAAATGTTAAGTTACACTGTTACTCTATAGCAGTATTTTTTGAGGAAATTAGATAATTTTGGCTCTTTAAACCTGGCTTCATATATCAGATGAACATATAACTTTACACAGAACAAACACTAGCGACTTAGCTATCTGTAAGCTGTAGGTTCATTTTTCACTTTTTTATAGTTGCAGAAAGTAAAGAATGATCTTGAAATGGTGCTGTCAACAGTTCAATCAAAGAACAAAAAACTGACAGAAGATCTGAAAAGGTAATACAATATTTATAAGTGCTTTAGACATTTTTTTTTGTGAAGTATTGTTTTGCTTATCGAGGAAACTATCTGTTCTATTTCCTACTTTTCATATTTCTTGTCTCTTCAAAGAGAACAACAGTGGCACGATGAACAGATGCAGATAGTAGATGTTCTTAGTGGAATTGAAGAAGAGATGAAAAATCAATTTATGCAATTTTCTCAGAAAAGGTATTTATATAGGGTTGGGTTTTTCCTATTGAAGAATTTAAATATTAAAAGGAGAAAATGAGTGGTCAAAGTCTTAAAAATGTACTACTTGTTTGCTAAAATAAATCAAATAACTGTGTAATATATATTTGAAGCATGTACAAAATACGGATTTTTTTAACTGACTTTTAAAATTATTTTATTGGCTTTAATATTGTATTGGTATGTTTTCACTCTTACATTGGTTACTAGAGCATTTCAAGAACTGAGAAGTGAAATGCTGAAACTAAAGACATATAAGGAAGAACTCTTGAAAGCTTTGGGTGAGTTCCTAGAAGAGCATTTTCCCCTTCCGAAAGAAGATGGAATGGCTAAAAAAGAGAAAAAGGTAAAATTTTTCTTTAGGAGAAAGCAATTTATATATATGTATTTTTATAGAGAGGGTAGACTTTTTTAAAGCTACAGGCATAGAAACTTAATTTATATTGTGAAATAAAAGTAGTTTTTATAGCTTATCAATTAAAAATTGTTTTTTTTTAAGTTTGTTTATGTTATTTGAGACGATTCCCAGCTGGATATTTTCCTTTTTAATGCACATATCCTATACCCAATAAGATACATAGCAATGTATTGTATTTCTTACTGGACTACAAGTTGTGCCAAATTTAGAAGTGGTGAGCAGTTTACTGCAAATTGTCCCAAATTTAGAATGTAGTTTAAAATGTTAACCATCAGTTTCCTGCTCAGGCAAACTAGGCCAGAAATTATCTTAAAACTTTAGGGAAAATAGGCAGCCAGGGAGTATTTCGCATAATAAATTTGAAGTCTGCAGTAAAAATAAATCCTTCACCATTACTATTTAAAGGAGTAGTTACCAAAAAGCTGCGGAAAAGGTAGGATTTGGTTTGGCTTTCAGACACAGTTTAGAACACAGGACTAAAAGGATGTCTTGAACCCAGTTCCCTATTATTGAAGACAGCCGCTGAGTATAATTTCTTTAATACTCTGATTGACCTCAATTAAAAAACTATTTTTTGTTAGTGCTGTTCCTATTGGAGTTCTAGGTTGTTACTCTGTTTAGAATCTTAATCCTAATTTCCAGTCTAAATTTATTTACATCTAACACAGATCCATTTATTATTCCACCACTATTGTCCTTAGTTCGTTCTTTCTTGTGTTTACTCTGCTGATACAGTTACAGGCAGCAGTCATAATCCCTCCCATTGTTTGCTTTGCTAACTGAACTAGAAAAATTCTCCTGCTATCTTCTTGTAAGATAGCTTTACCATTACTTGCATTATTCTAATGCTCCTTTACTGAATTTGCTTCTGTTTGAATTCATCTTTGTTTTCCTTAGTAAAATCTAAGGAAAAATGATTGTCCCAGGTCACTGAGGTTAATCAACCCTTTCCCTGGGCCATCTGTCTTTTCGTAGTTTTATTTATATATTTCCTAAACTGTAAAATGTTGTTTTATGTCTCTGATTGGTGGTCCCTTTTTTTTTTTTTTTTTCCCTTTCCATACCTTGTGAATTCATACCTTGTTCCATGTCTTTTGATTCAACTTGAGATCACCTGCCTAGCAACAGATTCTTTATGAACTGCATTTAAAATGATTGTTAATCACAGGAAAAGCAGCAGGTGCAGCCTTTTTCGGTCAGTTTTCTTACCTTCATGTGTCTCCATTAGCAATGAGATTGGCTGCTACATCAATTCAGAACAACCTGTTGTTCATGCTCATTATCTGCTAGGCAGTCCTGGATTCTCCATAACTGTGCCACTAATGTTGTTTCACCTCCAGGGAAGCTTCCTGTGCTCTGAGCAACTTCCCTGTGGCTGGGAATGTGCTTCCAGGGCGGATGCCCCAGTTCCACAGCAGTGCAAACTCCCCCACATCGATTTTTCTGATGCTGCCCTCCTTTCAGCTGGCAGAGTGTCAGGGATTGGGAGCTGGAGGGAAGACTCAGTCACAGCAGTCCAGATTAGCTTCTGCTACCGTGACCCCACACCTCTGGTATAGATAGTGACTGAGATAAGTTATATTGCATATTCAATCATAGACCAAAAACTACTTTTTTTTTTGTAATGTGGAAAGTTAGGTGATAAGGAATATCTTATATGTAAATCGAACTGCTTTATGGAAGGAGAAAAAAGATGCCATTCAGGTTAAATAAACCAACAGATCTGTGCTGACTATCCGTCTTAAAAATGCCTTTACATATGTTATTTAAATCGGAGATGTCTGTTAAAATTTGCAGTACTTATAATTACATTATTTACATATTTTGTAATACACTGTATACTATAAACTTAGCAAGACAATATTGCTAGATCTGTGAGAGGATGACCTCCCTACACTATTATCCTTGGGATTGTAGTCTTTGTATATAAGCTTCAGTATGACGGTTACAATTTAATTTTACCTTTGAAGCGCAAATACTGAACCCACTACTGAGGTTATGAAGTAATATTTTTGGTCTGGGAAACAGAATAGCCAAGATTGCAAAGTATCCTCATATTTGTTCCATGGAAGCTCTTGCAACTTCTTAGCATAGTCTCTACTTCCTCAGCCTGATACCAAGGTAAAGACACAAGGATGCACAAGTTCTGATTTGTACAAGGAGATCTTCTTGGAGCAAGCAGGATGTCCTCCTTGTAGCTGTCTGAAGTTAAGAGTATGCAGAACTTCTGTGATGGAAAGGAGGAGCCAGCCTTGACCTTTCATGAATTCTTATTTATTGTCTCGCTTTCTTGTCTGTTCCAGAATCAGAGCTTTTGAAAGGTGCTGCCCATCTGTTAATGTCTAAGGGCTTGGGTCAAGACATTCGACAGCAGCACTGAGTAAACAGCCACCAGGGCTGCATTATCTCTTGTATTTTGTTGAGTGTGAAGTGGATGGAGAAAACTGATAAAAATGATAAAAATCCATGTACAGTTTTGCTGGCCTAGTTGCCAAAGGAATTCACATCAATTTAAAGGGGAATAACTTGATTTTCTTGCCATAAATGGAAACAAGTAATTGTCTAATGGATCCCTGTATGTGATATTTTATTTAGGATTTTTTTTTTAACTCTGTGGTTCCATTTCTTAGTTAAAGTCAACAAACAAATACTCTAACTCATGAAAAAAGAGTAAGGCACTATGAACTGAAGTCTTAATCTATGAGAGTAATTTGCAGCTCATTGCAAAATTTTCTCTAAGTTTGAAAAAAAAACATTGTTATTTTCATAACAAATAATATTCATAGAATGTTGTCCATTGTATTTTGTTTATAAACATTATAGGCTTGTTTTATTTAAATATAGATCTGTGTAGATGTACTGTGTTCAATTAAGAAGATAAATCTTGACAAATATTTTTGCATTTAAAGTTTATGATATGAACTGCTGGATGACTGGTATAAATTATAACAGTATTTGTAGCACAGCTAAACATATGAGTAAAATTCATCAGTTGTATACTGTGCAATTGGGTGATTGTTTTGCTTTGTCAGTTAGGATTCCTCCTGAGTGTTTAATTTGTTTTTCTAACCTGGCGGTTTTGGGGGGATTATCTCTGCAGAACTCTTCTGAACTGGTAACCCTGCATGAAATTTTAGAGGTAAGATGTTTTTGTTATATAGAGGTTTGCAAGATCTTGTAATACTCGCATCTGATCACAATACATAAATAAAGTATGATGATATGAGTATATGATATACAGTAAAAATAGTTAAATAAAAAGCAGAGTGTTCAGAAATGTTACATCATACTTTTATATTCATTTCTATCAAACAAAAATCCATTTTTACAAGCACCTTGGCAATAATTTAGCTAACCAATTTTCAAATTGAGTGTGATTGTCTCTTATTTCATAAACGTTCTTTAAACTCTGTGTTTTTGTTGTTTAATAACCAAAAAAAGCTGTATGAGCCTTAGCAGTTCATACTAGAAGGTAAATGCTGTAGTTTAAAGAGAAAGAGGAAACAAAAACAACAACAAATGTTCATTTTCAGACTTCAGTACAAGTATTTCTGAAACGTAATGTAATAATGGTTTTAGGAGGCCCATTTAATGTGCAGTCTCTTCAGTTAAGCAGAATTCTTTTGTTTCGTATGCGGAGAACAAACAAATGTATTTCTAAAGGATTTTATAACAATGCCAAAGTGGATGGGTGGGTATATTTAATCCTGTTATAAGTTATGGTTTTGATTTACATAGTATAATTCTGAGGAAGCAAATTAAAAAAAAAAAATCTGAGAGTAGTACTGGAATAAAATTTTCCTTTCCTCTTCCATCCCCATCCTTCAGATATCTATTAGGATCTATGTATAAGACCTTCTTGTAAAACACCTCTCTCTCTCTTTTTTTTTTTTTCTTTTTCTCTGAGGGGAAATTGATGAATAACAACATTCTGGTGTTAAGATGCTAAGATCCGGTCACTATGACATTGTTGTGCTTTAGTTTAAAGTCCAAACAGTGGATCTGTACTTACATCATCAAATTCATTTTACATGCCTCAAGAATCTCAGCGTGCCTAGTAATGCCAAATTAGGCAGAGCTGGAAAACAGATCAGAATTTAAAATAGCTGTTCCTTCTGGAAATAAAATTTTAAAGCTTTCTTAATACTTTAGAAGTGCCCTTCATGTTTTTCTGATAATACTAATCTCCTCCAAAATACAAACATATCCAAAAAATGTCTGATTTCCATTTGAAAGAACAAACTAGTTCCAGAAATTCAGACTTATTGTTAAATTTAACTATCTTGGCCTAAGCAATGAATGTCCCTTATCTTTGTTTTACGTGGTTTTTCTTTTCTTTTGTTGAACATCTTGGTTCTAGTTTCAAGTGCCTGCTAAATTTCAAGACAGTTCTCTTAGATACAGATAACAGTTTCTTAAAGAGACAAACACAATATCATTTTTGTATTTCAGTTACAGATTTAGCATTTACTGTTGTTTAATTCATATCCAAAATTAAAAGCAGTGGATGTGTTCCTAACCATGTCTCCTTAATGCCCATGTGCTTACCTTTTACATAAGAAAGGTATACATTTTAATAAGTACTTTCCGCAGCTAGATATATGCATTTATATTTTTAGGGATGTTGGTATCTTCTTCATTAAATTCACGTGAGATACTACAATAAGCAATGCATTCTTTTTCTTGCAAACCTCATTTTTTTTTTATTATACCATTTTTTATTCCAGTAATGAGCTGTGTTTTGTTTACAAATGCAATTAGTTTGAAGATTATTCCTATCATACTGGGAATTTAGAGAAATGTTCTAAGATTTGAAACAATATATAGAATAGAATGTATTTAAATAAGGGTTAGTTGTAAAGGCTATTTTGAAATGCAGATGTTAAAAAGACAGTAAGCCACAAATGATCTAAGATTATATGTTGGAATAAATATTAAGAATTAGGGCAAATGAGCAAAAAAGAAATAAATTGGAACAATTCTTTGGAATGTTGGGAAGAGCAGCACAAGGGCAATGTTTTTATGAATGTAGAAATGGGTGGAAAAAACAGTAAGTTTGGTAATGAGGATTTCATTGTGTATTTTCTTTAGCAGTAAGAAGGCAGGCATAATATTTTGTACCTGCTGAAATGTGGAGAGTTAGGACATTTAGAAGCTTGGAGTAGAAAGATTTAGTATCCAAGGTGAGTAGAGAGACCATCATAGATGAATAAAATTTATCGTCTGTAGATGTCTGTGGTATTTCTCATGATCAATATCATGAGGGCATAGATATGGTCTCTGAGAACAGGAAAACAAGACACATGTGCCTTTATTTCCATTTACTGTATTTACTTAAGAAAGGAAGGAGAGGTAAGGAGGTAGTAAGAGATGAGCTGGTGTAGCCTGGTTGTCATGCCAAAACAAGAAGTGATATACACCTACCACGTAGGAGGCAAGCAAAAAAGTGTGAAGAAGCAGTGATCTTGTAAACTACGATAGCAGTGTTCAGCTTCTCATAGATGTTAAATTGTTTAATAGTAGTTACAGTAAGACAAAAATGCAGAAAAATCTACGATGATAGACTGTTATTATCTTTTTGGTGAGAACACAGGTAAAATCATAAGTTCTTCTCTGATAAAATCAGAAAGAGTAAGATTATTTACTGGGTTTGAGGTAAGTGATTTCTGAAGATTTAGCTTTCCCTCTTTCTTAAAACTTGTAACTCTATATTAATAGACTCTAAACATTAAACTAGGATTTATCACCTTTGTGTTCAAATTATGTTCTGATTCCAGTATTTACATAGACACACTATCTAAAATCCATTCAGAACTTTTGATAGATGTTGAAGAACTTAGTCTGAGTAGAAGCAGAATTCTAGTTTTAATTTTTACATCAGAAAATATATAGGGGAGTTAATTGAAAGTTCTTCTGCGTTTTACTTCTCCCTTGAACAGATCTCGCATTTCCCTGTAGTCTTGTATTTCTCAGATAGGCTGTCGAAACCATGCTTATTATAATGCTGCCTGCAAATGTTATCAAAGGAGGCTGTTCTGTTCACATTCTAAATCTCATACTTTTGGTTTTCCAGATTCTTATAAACAAATTAATAAGTACACCACACGAACCCTATTTAACAATCCGTGACTCGTTTTGGCCACCTTATATTGAGCTGCTCCTGCGATCTGGAATTGCACTGAGACATCCAGAAGATCCAAGCAGGATACGCTTAGAAGCCTTTCATCAGTAGAGAAAACTTCATTTACTTTAAAGCAAAACACAACTGCTCTTACTTGCTGGGAAGATATACTTATGCTTTATTGAATTTTTTTTCATGTTAGCAACCTCTTTGTGTTGGATGGACTTTTTTTTCTTTTTTTTTTCTTTCTTTTTTTTTTTTTTTAAGTAAAACATGCATTTGTAAGAGTGGGAAATTTTCAATTTCAGTTGCTCATCATTAGCTACAATTGTTTATCAGTTTTCTTGCAAGTGATGCCAAGATGTGCATTCTGATATTTTCAGCTGCTTAAATGCAGCTGCAAAGTTGGAGATTTTGCAGATGCAAATTGAGATAATAGACAACATAAAATCTAACAGTCCTTTTGATTTTTGAAGATTGTGTTTTACATGTTACTTTTTTCTTGACTATTCATTTCTTAAATGTTTTAACTCATCAAACGTAGTATTTTGTTGTGTTCAGAGGGTCAAATGAGGCCTTGGAGGCATTTAGAACCCCCACTGAGAACCCCATTTAGAACCCCATCTTCAATAACATGTCTTTTTGAGAAGCTTTGCAAACATTCAGAAGAGTTGACACATTTTTCTGTGCAAAGGGCTGAAGATACTTGGCATGTTGATCTACAGAATCAGAGAATGGAGAAATCTATAACCATATGTTTCCTAAAACAGACCCTTTGTGTTAAGTTATATTGCCTAATAGCATCTGCCTTCACTTTTCAGATCTGATTTATCAAGGTTTGTAATACAACTTGGTGTTGTGTGGATTTCTGTAGGTTGTACGTTAGATCAGCTGATAGTTACTGACAGTGATAGGCACTCCACTGCCATCCTGATCTGCTTGTGTAGAAGCCATTGCTGTAGGTGCACAGATAACACCTTTCCCAGTTTTACACAAATAGACTCCACTTAATCCTGGAATTGAAGCTGGAAGTTCAACTCTTGCAGATCTGCAGCAAGTATAACCTTGGGAGATACCTGGTTAATCCAAGGCATGTGTTTTCAGTTTAACCAATATTCAGTTTATCCAGTTTTCATTGAGGAGTGTAAAGGTTATTGATTTTTCAGTTCATAGAAAAATAAAGGGTAATACAGGTCAAGCTAATAATAAACTATTAAAACTTTACCTGGACAGGACTCAACAGAGTGTTTCATGTGAGGGCTTAACTGATGATACAAAGAAACTTAGCAGATGAAGGAGGAACAGTTCAGTGCAAGTTCTAGCATAAATTCCTTCTTTTTTTTTTAATTACTTTGCTTACTAAATGTTAAGCAAAACAAATCATTGTCTTGTATTCTTTGAGTCAATGCAGTTACACAGTTGTCTGCTAGTTCTGGTGCTTAATTATTCGAATGATTTGGTTTTCTGGCTTAGCTTTCTAGCATTGTCCCTTCGGATTTTTTTTTCTTCATCTGTTTTAAATATTTTATTCTACTATGCATTTATCTTGTTACTGTTATTATAAAGCTCAAATACTTGACTGACCCTGGATGTCTGTTTCTGTGATGGGGGTGGTAAGCAGGAGAAGATAAAATGTTAAGAAGAAAGTCATTTCTCTCTCTCTCTTTATAAAAAAAAAAAAAAAAGCCCTCATATATGTGTGTATGTGTGTGTATGTATATGTGTATAAAAGGAAGACCATATAAACAACCTCTAACAGAGTACTGTGAAGATGATGAATAGGAAATACTGGTTATTTTTCATAAGGCAGAATCTATCTTTTCCAAGCAAACTGTCGGAAAAGGTGAAGAAAGGAAGCACTTCTTTATATAAACTTTAAGTTATGGAACTCACTGCAGTAGGGTGCTATGTAAGGATTAAATATAAATGTCTCAAAAAAGCAGACTTGCAGACACTGGGGTCATGAGTGAATATTATAGGAAATGCACAACCTTTCCGAGCAGTTCCAGAAATCCCTACTCCCAAAACTTTGGTGGCCCTTATGCATTGAGAAGTATAGCTCTGCAGCTGATCTGATCTCCACACAGCTGTGACCAGCTCCTCAAAGACCTGCGAATGGCTGCGCTCTATCTTACTGCATTGCAGAAGGCCTTTCTGCTCCCGCCTAGGGCACGCTCAGAACCCAGTCCTTCCGTGTCAAGTTGTTTCCTTAGGCTCAGTTAAGTCCCTCTACTGCAAAAGAAAAGCTCTCCATAACCTATTTCCTCTCACTGCTGAAAATGCAAGCTCCCAGAAGAATCCTGGCAAATAAAGTGAAGAATTTCTTGACAGTAAGGAAAAACAGTTCTTCCTTATAAGGAAAACCTGGCGTAAGATCTTCCATCAGTAGGATCTGCCAAGAGGAAAGCTGAAGAGTAGACCTGAAGTCTAAGTAAGATAACTTATCTTTTTTCTCTCTCTCTTTCTTTTCTTGTCAAATTGTCAATTGTTTAACATTTCTGTAAATGTTGACATTTCTGTAAATGATCTTGGACTCTAAGATGCATGTTCTGGTAAATAACACTTTGTTTACTCTTTTTTTTCATTTTTTAACTCCACAAAGCTAACTTAAGAAACAAAAATCTTTGAACGTTCAGAGCTGTCTGCCTGAGTAAGATTTGACTCTGGCCTTTTAGTGGGTATTGTGCTTGTGGATAGTTCAAATATTCTGTATTGTTAGGTTCAATTAGCTGAATCCCTCTGTCACTTCACAATAATTATTTTTGTACTTGGTCTCAGTCAAGAGGTAAGCAATCCGCATTTACTTTCTTTTTGCAATTCAAATGCATTTCTTATTATATAAATTAATACCCTGTACTTCATATTGAAAAAGCCACAAGCAATGCAAGGAGAGGTGAGCTTTATACCCATGGCATTAAAGCTAAGGCATTAAAACAAATTACTATCTGCTTGATTCCATTGATGTTGTCATATTTCCAAAATAAGTGTCCCCCATTTCACCTGCATGGGCCATGCTAGAGAGCACTGTATGGGAAGAGGAAGATAGGTCTTTTCATGATTATCAATAGGAACTATTTAAATAAGCTTTATTGAGTTTTTTTTTTTTTTTGAATCTTGACTTTTTTTAATCTCTTTTTTAAAATATTCTGAATATCCTGTAACAATTTCATAATTTAATAACTCTATCATATGAAGCAGAGTTACCATTTTGTTTGCCATAATATTGACCAGTTATATTAGCACTTATTTTTATGTAGATGAATTATACTGAGCATCTTGCAATATAGATATCTACACAATAGATGCTTCTTTAGGAAGCATTAAATATTGCCTTTTTTTTTTTTTTCCTGTGTACCGTATTCCTCCATATTCAGTGTTCCCTAGCCTTATTTTCTTATTTGCTATTTGAGTATTCCATGGTAACATCATTGAGTACATCTGTTCTTTAAGTATTCGGTCCTGCTTTGTGGAAATCTTTTGCGGGGGAGGGAGGGCTAGTATTTGTTCTGTCTGTAAATACTTTTATACTTTATGTATGTAAGTTCATATCCTTTTTGAACACTTTTTTTTTTTTAATTGCTCAGGGTAAAGAGCCAAAAACCAGACCAGTATCTAACCTGTTCACTGTTTTATTAACTTAATATATCCAGAGAAAAATGTGCATTTCCCAAAATGGGATCTTAGGTACTTCCTCCCTCAGGTAAGTTACAGAATTCTCAGCTATAGACCAGTTATTCCCCCTCTTCAGCTGTTGTCAATGACAGGAATTAGTCTGCCTTAAATGCTTCTTGTCATTAATCAGATAGCAAATATATTTGTGTCCAAAGAGAGGACATGCCTCTGTAAAATCCTACAGCCGTTGGCTCTTGTTCTCTTTCATCCCACACCTGCATATCTGGACCCAGCACTTATTGCTTACTCTTATCACTTCAGCCAGAATTTAGGAAACTTTAATAGTTACCCTTATATCAGACATCTGCAGTTCCAAGGGAAAGCAATATAAAAGACAATATGACTTGATACCAGCATGCCTATAATTAGTTATACTTCGGAGCCTCTGACACTTTTCTCATTAGCATGAACCAGAGTTCAGAGACAAAGAGATGGTGCCTTCTGCTTCACATGCCCAGTGCATTTATACAACACTACAAATATATTCCTTTTAAAAAATACAGAAAAAGTCAATTCATTAAAACATTTGTGAAACTACAACAGAAGAGAGAGAAGAACAGAAGAGAGAGGAGAAACAATAAAAAGACCTCTGTGTTGAGATGAAGACTACTAGTGTGGATGAACAGACCCTGGAAGAGAGTTTGTTGACCTTAGTGTATCAGAAACAGCAGTAATACACACCAAAAATAAGAGTCTAGGAAGCATCCCATAGTGAGGTCCAACCCATGAACAGCAGCACAGAGACGACCTGTGGATTTTTGCAGCTCCGACATAAGTCCTGTGGTTTAACTTTTCCATAAATCCTGGACTGATGCTTTATCCTACAGCTTGCAGGGAAGTGAGGAGGAAAGACATTTACAGCCACTCACAGGTGATGTTTGTCTGGGTAGTTTTGACTGCATGTAGAGGAATTTCTCACCGGAGTCATAGATGGCTCAGGAGAAATTCATTTTTCCTCATCTCTTTTGGAAATCTTTCTCTTTCCCAGATGCATTTGTTGTCTTACATGCTACCAATAACTTACATAACTTTCAAACCTGGAGAATGTAGAGTATTTGAAGATAGATGATAGATAATAGAACACTGATAGAGAATTTGAGAACTTAGTAATTCAGGCAACAGCAGTCCAAGAGAATGTACCCAGGTTATTCGGATTCTGTTCTCAGCTGTTTTATGTTCACAAAAATCTGATGTGGCTGCTTGATGCATGGTTAACAGTTCACTCTCCTGTTGGAGGTGGCTGGGATGCCAGCTGAAGACAGACAATATCTCTGTGTCCTTGTCCAAATAATGGATTGTCTCGTCTGTGCCATTTCAGGGCATGAGCATGAATCACATCAAATCTGTCCTGGAGCTGACTTGTAAAAACCCCATTTCCCCAGGACATGGTCAGAGATCACAGCTGACACTTGAACAATCTCCTTGCCAGCAGTAGCAATCGGGATTTGTTTTACGCTCATATGATGTTTTTGCGCT